TCATTAACATCTCGATTAATTATATGAAATGTATTCACCATATTTTGTTTAAGCTGAGACATTGGTGGTTGAATTTTCCCACAATCATATCAGTACAACTGACGTTTTCATTAAGTTTCACAGAAAGAAGCGTGAAAGTGTCACCGTTTTTTGGCAGAACGTTGGTCAAGCGATTGACTAGACTAGTCTCTTTGACGAGTTCGTAACTTCGTGCGGAGATCGGCAGCACTCGCCGATGATGCCGACGAAACGTCTGAGAATGTAGCATGTCCACGCTCTGATTGTGGGAATTATGAAAACTATTTCGGACAAGGTGTGTTCTACTAAGTCGCCCTGACAACAAGACCAAGTTGCGAAAACGAGGTCAACCCCCATATAAAACTGTATCCTGAAAATTGATGACATATCTTAGACAACGAAAAATAGGCATTCGTTGATTGTCATGTCTACTATAACTTTGCTTCATCGCCGATCCAACCAAAGAATGGGATATGACAAAATGTCTGGTCTCTCTTGAAATGCACATTTTCACTGGCAAAAATGGCCGAGTGGTTGACGTGTCGAGATTGCACGTTGCATTGTCATGGCTCGACTCCCGTTGGTGAGGGGGAGGGGGGGTAAGGGGTTGCTATGATCTGAGCGGGATCGAACGTGGAGTTCACTTCAGCCTTTTGAGAAGACAAAGCTCTGTGAAATTCAACGGAAACGTCAGCTCAATTTATGTCATTGTGGGCAGATTATGCTACCAGTCCTTTATCACTTTGAACGGAATAGGTTGAGCTCTGCTCCTGTTTTTGAATTAACGTTGTTTTAACGTCGTTTTCGCATCTTGCTCGGAGCATCATTGAGGCTTTTTGGAAGGTATCCAGTTCTGTACACTCTGTCCTCAGGTAGTTGTGATTTATAACATCAATCAATTGACCAAGTTGGCTCTCCAAGGTCTCACTGACGCTTCGAACAAGTTGCGAAAACAAGGTCTAACCAACACCATAATGCTGTAAAAACTGTCACCAAACAGAAGGTCACACCAAATCTTGCTCCTCATAGCAACAGTGCTTGGACTATTATAAATTTGAGGCCTTAGCAACAATGATTCCCAGCTCTGACAAGGTTAGTTTTGTGGAATTTCTAACGAAAGGTCAGCACTTTTAGTGTGCAAAACAAGCGTCAATTTGGGGTTTGTGTTAAAGGCAAACAGTGGCAGAGCAACGGGAGCCAGCCGTTTTCTTTTGGCGAGATTGACCTACCATGTCGTGACGGCATAGCAATGCTATCTCGAGAGATACATCGAAATCGGCGTTTTATTTGCATACACAACGACGTCAACTAAGTCAGAGGAATGTGACCGACAAAAGTCATTTTTGCGCTTCCTTTCACCGGAAATGAACATGCGAGGGGTGCTTCTGCAACGGGGCTTCCCAAAGTTGTATGTTGAAATATGAAATCTATTCACACAATTTCGTTTAAGGTGATGAAAGACTGATATAAGAAGAATTTCCCCACAATGATGTGAGTAGAGCTGACGTTTCCATTGAATGTCACATTGCCTTGCTTTCCCAAAAGTTGTTCTTCTACCAGTCCTTCTTCACCTTAAACGAAATTTGGTAAAAATATC